TATTTCTGTTGGCTTGCCGCCCCCCCCCCCCCCCCCCCCTTCCTGTTTTCTTTCCTCTGGCGATTGTGTGTTGGGTCCTTTTTTTCGCGTGAGCAGATTGCTGGTTGACTTGTAAGGGTGTTTGCTGCATAACAAGTGTAAGCATTGTGACTGCAAATAAAACTTCAATGGTTTCTACTGAGCCGTCTCTGCCTGGGCATCACCTGCACCCCGAGTTCTGGGGCATCAACTGCCCCCCCAGCTCACCCCTGCGCCCCACATTCTCCCCATCACCTCCACCCCAAGCTCTGAGCGTCGCTCACACCCCGAGGTCTCCCTGCTGCCCCAAGCCCCTGCCTCCCACAGGGCAACTTTTCTCAATGAAATGAGTTTAAAAAGCATTATTTTGGGGGTGGGTTGTACTCGGGCTCCAAAATCAGCGTGGATCCAGCAGCACTCGGGGGTTTGGGTCCATTCTAGGGAACGGCCTTTTCAACACCCACAGCACGAGGGATTTTTGTATTGAAAAACCATTTATTTACAGTCTGAACTCAGCAGAGGGGGGGAGGGGGCAGGTACAGCACTGCTCTGCCCCCTCCTCAAAAGCCTCGGGGACCTTTCTGCCCCTTTTTGCCCCAGCACAGGGCAGACTCCTCCCCTCCTCACCCCGACACAGGGTCCTTGGCTCTGCCGTAGACAACGCTGTTACAACCTTCCCGATTCCGAGCGATTTCGATGGCGAAAAACTGGATTCTGGTGGCTAGAAAAGAGGAGAGAAAACCCCCAACAGTGAGATGTGTGGGTTCAGCTTCCCCGTAGCCCCGCGTGCCCCCTTTTTTGGGGGGTCCCCGGCCCACCGAAGATGGTGTTCTCCTCGGTGTAGTCCTCCCGGCAGTCCAGGCGGAGCAGGGTGCCGTAGTTGAAATCCTCCACCACCCCCTCGAAGCGCAGGCAGAACGGCCTCCACTTCTGCAGGGAGAGGCACCAGTGGCCCCAGAGCCCAGGGAAAAAGGGGGAGATTCATGTGTCCCCCCCTTTTTCTCATCACCCACCTCCTTGGCCGGCTCTGATTTGAGATCTTCGGGGTCCAACACGTCGATTTTAAGATCCCGGAAGGTTTTCCTGAACTCGCTGTAGATCTGGTCGTCCACTTTGGTGAGGTTCAGAAATTTGGGGTCCACAGAGGAGATGAGCTACGTAGGGAGGGGGAAGAATGAACCGTGACCCCCCTGCCTCACCAAGACCACCCCCCTCAGCCACAGTGAG